CATGGTGGACCTAGTCTGTCATTATAATTGTTTTGGTATCAATCTGTTATTTAGTTTTTTACTGCTATTATAATACAATTATACTGAATCTTTCAAAATAGGATGATATATAAATGTAAATATAAATTATCAATACAAATAATATAAATAAATATATTACTTGGCTTGCTTTAATTCTCCCTTTGAAGAATTATAGTTGAATAATCAACTGGAACAATTTAATGGGAGCAGAACAAAGGGAATTGCTTTTCAGGCAGGCCTCAGGAGCATGTTATTCACCAATATCCTTAGCAAACAACCAAAGATTCTGAAACTCTTTCTTACCTTTTTTTTTTTTACAAATAACAGAAAACTATTTTGTCAAGAGGGTCCAAGAAAGAAGAATAAGCTTAATTTCATAACAATATCTAAATATATCAATGTGAGTTGGTGGCAATTACAGATGATTGTCAAAGTAAGGTCTCCCCAGGTCTACTTTTGCAATCTCTAGAGCAGGGGTCCTCAACCTTGGCAACTTTAAAACTTATGGACTTCAACTCCCAGAATTCCTCAGCCAGTAAACAAACCCAAAATTTGAAGATTCCTCTCTGGCATTATATGGAAATTTCTAGAAGAAAACTGTTGAATACTGTAATTTTATCTTCATTAAGGCTTCAATATTACATTTATTTTGAAGCAAGAATATTGTAATTGTGTTTGTGGCCTTAAAGCATGGTTTCCAATGTAAAGTATGAATATATATGTGTGTGTGTGTGTGTGTGTGTGTGTGTGTGTGTGTTCTTTTGCACCTTTAACGTTACAGGACATTTTATTGTAGCAATAAGTTTAAAATATGAAAAGAATTGACTGTATTAGAACCAGAAGGGGCATATCACAAAATTGATTTGCTATTTTGGATGATGTAGTCTCTGAAATTGTTGAACATTTTTTTCTCCCTTTTTTCTCCCATAAATGTATTATGGTACTATGGCTAATAGTTAAGATATTATAATTACATACAAATATTGTATAATAGTTTTAATAGTTACATGATGGCTGTATTCAAGAGTTAACCTGAATCTTATATATGATAATACTGCTATATAAGTCCAGGAAGAAACTTTCCCTCTAAATTAAGGTAAATAAATCATTTATGCAGTCTTTGCCATTCATTCTCTTGTTCATGTATTGAGATTCATTGGACTAACCATGTAGTATATAAAAACTGTATGCTGGCCTGATTGTCAGGATATATTAAGCCATATTGTGGCTTGTTTCATAGAATCATGGAGGCTTAAAGCACCATAGAGGACATCAAATCCAACGTCATGTTCAGATCCATGAGAAAACCTCTGACACCGAGTTTCTGTTTAGTGAGGTGATAGCTCCTCTTTGCAACTTTAACCCATTGGTTCTAGTCCTGCCCTGTGCAGCAGCAGAAACTCCCTCTACTCCCTCTTTGTGTTACACTGTCCAGATAACTGAAGACTAGGATCATCTCTACAGCTGTGTTTCTAGAGTCTAAACAGAAACATTCTTTAATTGGTGCTCAGATGTTTTAGTTTCCAGAATTACTGTTGTATTGGTAGCCCTCTTGCAAACTTGCTCCACTCTGAACTCTTCCCTCTGAACTAATAATAATAACAACAACAACAACAACAACAATAATAATAATAGTTGGAAGGGACCTTGGAGGTCATCTAGTCCAACCCCCTGCTGAGGCAGGAAACCCTATACCATTTCTGACAAATGGCCACCCAGTCTCTTCTTAAAAGCTTCCAGTGCTGGAGCATTCACTGCTTCTGGAGGCAGGTTATTCCACTGGTTAATTGTTCTAACTGTCAGGAAGTTTTTCCTTAGTTCTAGGTTGCTTCTCTCTTTGGTTAGTTTCCACCCATTGCTTCTTGTCCTGCCTTCAGGCGCTTTGGAAAATAGTTTGACTCCCTCTTCTTTGTGGCAGCCCCTGAGACATTGGAACACAGCTGTCATGTCCCCTCTCGTCCTTCTCTTCGTTAAACTAGACATACCCAATTCCAGCAACCGTTCCTTATATGTTTTAGCCTCCAGTCCCCTAATGTCCACTGTTGGTGGACATGGGGTCTGCATCTTGCTACTGGATTATATTTAATTTGTAGTCAGCAGGGATGCCAAGACCTCTGTTACATGTTTTATTGTGCGATCAGGTATTTCCTATCATATTGTTGTGGTTTTGTTTCTTATCCAGATGCAATCTTTTCCAGATTAAATTACATCCTATTCATTTCACCTCAATCATCAAGCTGTTATATTTTTGAACATATCTGTCCTCTCTAAAATATTTATTACCTTTCCAGTTTTGGGTGATCTACAAACTTTAAAAATGTACCTCCTCTCATCCAAGTTATTGGTTAAAAAAATGCTGAACAGCACATGGCTCAAAACAGAGCTCTGCAGCATTCCATTTGATACTACCTTCAATTTGAAGTGGAGTCATTCATGAACACTCTTTGGCTGCAATCATTTAGCCAATAGTGAAACTATCTAGCAGCAGTATTATCTAGCATATATTTTTCAAAGAATATCATGAAACCCTCTGCTGAAATTTTTAATGAGATCCAGGTACACCACAATCCTGATCTAATAAGCTAGTAACTCTATCAAAGAAGGAGACAGGGTTAGTCTGACATCATTCATTTGGCTTCCATGCTGGCTCCAAACAGCTTATTTGTGAAACAGCTTATTTGTGAACGCCTAAATAATTTGTCTAAGATTTTGTCCAGTATGGACATCAAGCCTGCAGACCTGCAGTTTCCTAGATCTACCTTTTCCCTTTTAAATATGGGAATAACATTTGTTCTTCATATTTCTGGGTTCTCACCAGTCCTCCAGGAGTTCTCAAAGAATACCAGTTCTGGAAACTTCTGCTAGTCCTTTCAGTGGTTTTATATGTAAGGAGTCTTTAATTCATTGAAATAAACTGCATTCCCTCTTCCCCTCTCCTCTTCTAGCCTAAGCTTTAACTTCTTTTCCCTCATCACATAACTATAGTTTAATTTCCCTTCCCAGAGAAGACATAGAAAATAGGAGTGAGAATCTAAGCTTTCCCATCATTGTACATTATTGCATCACCTCTTTCCTCTCACTATGGATCAACAGTCCTTTTGGCTTTCCTTTTATTTCTAATATATCCAAATAACCCCTTTTTTTGGGGGAGGGGGGAATTTGCCGAAAGCTTCAGCTCATTCTGACCTGTAGCTTTTCTGACTCAGTTTCAGAAGACTATTTTCTATTCTTCTTTATGTTCCATCTTATTATTTCCTATATGTCACTTTTTCTCTTCAACATTTTAGAGAGTTCTTCATCTATCTATGCTAGTCGCTTTAATTTATCCTATTTCTTGTGGAGATTGTTTGCAATTACAATGTTTGCAAAAAGATCTTAACATCTTTTCTGGATATGACAAATCTTCCTTCTGAATTCATGAAACATCACAGTCTAATTTCAGTGTGCAGGTCTGACTCTATCTGGTACTCCTCCTCTGGATATTACATATTCAAGGATAACACGACAATTTTTCTTTGAGGTACCAGTCACTTTCAGTTCTTCTACCAATCCCTCATTGTTGACAAAGATAAAGTCCATGGATTAAGTTCTTCCACTTTCTGACAACTGATGTCAGCAAGACAGGCCAAGAATTTATAGGCCTTCTGACCCCTGGCAGAATTAGATTTTCAGAAGATAACAGGATATCTGAAATCTCCCATTATCAATATTGCATTAGTCTTTTTGAAAGACTAGTTATCTCATGCAGAAATACTTGATCTGCTTTTTCTGTGTGGTCAGGCAATATATAATAAACTCCCACAACAGTATCTTTTTATTTTTTACTCCTTTTATTCTTACCCCAATACTCCCAAAATAATTTCCATTCTCTGATTCCAGAACTGCTATGCAAATATTTTCCTTTATATAGAGTGCTTCTGACTTGGTGTAGTACATGATATAATATAAAATGTGAGCCATATTTATTGTTTAATCTATTATGTAAACCACCCAACTGAGATTAATGAAACATGATTAAAAAAAAGGCATTGCTAATGAAATGTGTGACTCAGGTAACCATGTATTTGTAGATGATGCTATTCTCTTCCCATAAGGACATAAATGGAGTTTTCCAATTTCAAACGTTCAAAGAGAACAATATTCCTAGCACAACCTTTCCAATCTAATATTCTCCAGATATAATTATTTCTTTTGTATTTCTAATATAAAATATAGTTTTTATTCCATTTAATTTATCTCAAGAGTGTTAGAAGTTCTTCAGATGATGGGCATCTTATATTGAATATTTTGAGAAAAATGAAGCTATGTTAATCTACATGAAATAAATTATCTCCCCTGTATTTCTTAGTTTAAAAGTTGTATTTTGCATAAATACCAACATTCACATCATATGGTATCAAAAACTTAGTATCTCCATGGAATACCAGTTTACAGAATTCCCAGCTAACATGGACATGAATCGTATTAGCTGGAAACTGGGAATTTTAAGCATCATAGCCAAATAGCACTGGCTAGAGCAAAGTTAGAGAAGGCTGGCCTAGCATCATTAATCTGACCATCTAGAAAACTTAAGGATTCTGAATATCAGACTTAACTTCTTGAATGATTCTCCTTCTATTCTGTCCATGTTCCAAAATTTCCATACTAAGTTTATAATTTCTACACAGTACGATTTTCCTTACCTAGAAATCTTGCAAATCACAGCATAGTCACAGAACATGTATTTTAGTATTAAATGCCATTTTGATTTGAAAAGAAGCAAACAGAACATTTTAAGTTCATTCTTTCTCTACAAACCATGCATAAAAGCAAACACATTATCCGGCAAGGATATTATTTGGGGAAGCATGGATGAAATGAAATCTAGACTCTTTCTTCTAAAAGTCACCCTATGACTTTTCTTTAAGATTAATAAACATTTTCAAGCACAAATGTTAATCAAGGCAAACCACCTGAATAGAAGACACAATGCTTCTTACCATCAAAACCATCTTCCTCTGTTCCAAGTTCATCATCTGAGCAAATGTTCAGCACGTTGACCAGCATCTCTGTTACTGTTAAGAAAATCAAGTGGAAAGTTGAGACAATGAGACAAACCTGATGGATCCAAAATAAGATTCTCAGTTGTAGCATGGTTGTTTATAATCACAGCATATATAACAACTACACAAAATTTTAAGCAAAAATTTTAAAGCAAAATTTGTGTGAACATTCAGAGAATAAGGTCCAGATCCTTAGGCAATTAAGGGGGGATTCCTGTACAGTTCAATGCTCAACAGAAGGGTCCCTACAAAAATACAACTCCTGTTTTAATAAATACACATTCATTCCTTCTTTTTGATGTCTGGCTTACAGAAGTAAGTTTACGTCTCCTTTTGTTTCTCTTCCAAAAACTTGATAAGTCAGATTAATTTGAAACAATGTTTGCCAGTTGTATTGTTTTCCTCCCTTTTTCCTCTCTCTTATGTACTAGGCACAAAGCTGAGGTAACTTAGCAGTGCAAGTTACACAAAATAAAATATTTTAATTAAGTATTCATAAATATTTAAACAGGGAAAGAAGGCATTTCTGTCTACATGAACACGCTATGAAATTAGCAGACCCGAACTCTAGTTGGCCATAAATGCAAACTAATTGAATCCTTTTAAGTGTGGTGTATCGATAATCTTTCACTCTCTTGGAAATATGCTATATTTCATTACTTTATTGGACAGATAGGTAAGCCTAAACAATATTATCAAATTATTCCTACTTGGAATAATTAAAAGATAAACAAAAACAATTTCTTAAACACATAAAAGAGACAATACTTATTTTTACATAGCAACAAGCTCAGTTTGCTTCTAAATGTACTTTTTTTTTGGCAGGGAATTCAACCAGTTGCAGTGATAGGATGGTAGGATGCAACCATATTATTATAATCAGATATTGGTCACCTTTTCATATCATATTTTTAGTTAGATTTAAAATAAAGCTATACTAAGCTGCACAACTTAAAAAAATGTATCTGCAATAAAGATCACATTTTAGGACAAAGGTAAGTAAGAAATGAATAATTTTGTAATTAGGATTATAGATAAATTTTAATGTTTTTTCAATTAATCTTTTTATTGATTAAAATGGGTTTTGCAATAGTTACAGTAAATTGAAAACAAACAAACAAATAAATAAGGGATTTTTCTGGTGTACAGGTTAAATATTAAAAAAGGACTAACTGGAAAATACTATGCATGATAAAGTTTGGCAGAAAAAGAACATATTAACTTATAAACCAATGAGTGGTATTTTCATATGTGATAGATTTTTGCCTCAGCAACTAGATGTTTTCTAGAATACCAATCAAAACTAGATCTTGATATATCTAGGATTTTTACTATTCATTACACAATTCTTTTAATAGGGTAAGATTTGATGGAAATTTGATACCCTAAAGTGCATGAGCAGATGTTATTTAGAAAAGCTAAAATACTCAGAAGTCATATATTTGTAGAATTATGCAGAATACAGGTAACCCTCAATTTATGACCACAAATTTCTATTGCGAAACAAGATAGATGTGAGTTTTGCCCCATTTTAAGACTTTTCTTGCCACATTGTTAAGTGAATCACTGCAGTTGTTAAATTAATAGTATGATTGTTAAGTGAATCTGGCTTCCCCATTGACTTTGCTTGTCAAAAAGTTGCAAAAAGTGATGGCATAACCATGGAACACTGTAACTGTCATAAATATGAGTCGGTTGCCAAGCATCCAAATTCTGATTATGTGACCTTGGGGATGCTTGCAACAGTTGTAAATTCTAAGTACATTTTCAGTGCAGTTGTAAATTAAAATAATCAGCAAACAAATGGTTATAAGTCAAGGACTACCTATATAGTACCGTAAATGCCGGCGTACAAGGCGACCCGGCGTATAAGACGACCCCCGTCTTTATCGCCGGGCCGCACTCCTAGAACGTCGTCTTATACGCTGGAAACTACCAGTATTTCCGGCGTATAAGACGACTCGGCGTATAAGACGACCCCCGTCTTTGGCGCTGATTTCAGCGCTCGCGGAAGTCGCCTTATACGCCGGCATTTACGGTAATAATATTCCAGTAATTCAAACAAACTAATTGAAATGTAACAAGATTATAAAAGTGTGCAAATATATTAAAGAAAGTGGGTATTTGATATACAGAAATATGCATGGGCCTATAAGTATATGGTGGAGTACATACATGCGGTTGTAACTTGCCTCATCTCATTATTAGCCAATTGCAGTTGACTGGAAGTCTGCCTTTAGCCTGATTTTACACAGCCTCAAAGGATAAAATACAAAAGAAAAAATAAAATGGGCACTGCCCCTCTCTCTCTTTCTTTACATAAGCCTACTTGAGAAAGGAAAAACATCTCTTGATTTTCTTCCCAGTGTTTGACTTTCCTAGGCTGTTGTTGATTTGCATGGATAGGTCTGTTAATTGCCTTTAATCTTTTCAGTCTCTTGCCCGCCTGAATTGAAATTCCCTTATATTTTATACAAAGTCCAATTTGCAAAATTTCCATTTATCTGTATTTGTGCCCACATACACCTGCCATATAATTGTTTCTCTATAGAAATCCAAGCTTCTGTTGGAAAATTATCTAGGCAGAGATATAGACTAATACCTTTACCACCCACCTCATAACAAGCATAAGAAAGCAACTTCATCTCACCTTTATCATTTGGCAACATCAAAAAAATTCTATGAAAAATTAAAACAGCAGAGAACAAAGACTCATCTACAGTATAAGTGCCTGGCTAATTTCACCTACCTACTTCCTCTGTTTCCAAAATATGCCTTTTAACTCACACCATTACTGTTTAACTAAGGAGCTCCTTAGAAAATTCATTGCACCTACTCTTAACATAGCTTCTTTTGTGAAGAAATTTCAGAAGGCCTTTTTTTTAGTTTAACTAAGAAGCTTACAAACCTTTCTTCACAAAAGAAGTTTTGTGATGTGTAGGTACAATAAATTGGAGAATAAACATTCTCAAAGTTGGAGTTGGATGTCAGCTGGGCAAATCCAGCTGAATTGGCAGAGATATCTGACAGAGTTTTACTGGACAATAAGCATTAATAATTCCTCCTACTGCTGCTACTTCTAGTACTGTGGAGGTATCTGAGAATATTTTAAGCTTGTTGGTCTTAAGGATGTAGACTAAGTTTGCTGAAATAGAACTCATATGTATATATAAATGAAGAACTAAAATCAATATATGCGATAACTATGTAGTTATAGCAGTAACGGCATAGTTACAGGTTAAACTCTACCACTGATATTTTCAAATATAGAAATAATGGTTTTGGACACAACTAGTCTTTTTTAGAGTCAAATTCCAATCAAAATCATCCAAGTCACCATTAAAATAAAAAAGCAGCAATTATAATAATCATCTGCACATATCACACACATATATACCAATAAGGCATAGCAGAAATAAAAAAAATGTCATAAAATATCTGGCTGTGTCAAAATATTAAATATTCTCAAAAATATGTTAACATCATGGCAAAAACTAAAAATGTTAAGTCATTTCATAGATACTGCTATGAAACAAATTGCTATTATCACTATCAAAAATATCCTGATACATATTACTGACATTTCTCATGACCTGTATCATTCAGCATATTTCATCTTAAAAATATCTGTAGCAGAAATTCCCCCTTTTGTTAGATACCAAGGTTTTGGTATTCCATAGTGCCTGCTTGCACCACAGCATTCCCTTCCCAGCTTATAGGCATTCAAACAGTGCAGGCATTCACGTGGCACCCCAACCATCTGGGTTCAGCCCACAAACACTCACTTGCACATTTCCCATGTCACTCTGTAGTATTCATCTGCCCTCTGGCCTGATTGTGAACCACCTGGGTCTTGCCAACTTCCATCAGGATTCCCTATTGATTATACTTGTGAGAATCGATCAGGAATTTGCCAGTCATAGATGTTCTTGCTTGAAGACCCATGAATTTTGCTTAACAATGGCAATGGAGACCGCTATTGATAAGCAATGTGGTCATGTTGCACTTTATGACTGCACAGCTTAGCAAGAGAAATTCCAGTCCTGGTTACATTGCTCAACACCATCGCCCAATTACTGTTGCTGGCTGTATCATGCATGTTCCATTGCCCTAATCTAGTTTCCTCTTATTCCAGACACACTTCCAACATCTCTGAATATTCTGGATGCCAGCCCCTTTTCAGTAACAATTCTTCTCTTTTTACTCATTGATAAAACAATTTACATACCTTTTTCTCCCACAAACGGCAAAGACCAAGTGAAAACATCCATAAAATTTGGAAGCCAGTATGGATGAGGAGAACAATTAAATTGTCTGATATTCATAACGTTGTTTTCATATTTCAATACTGCAGCTGCAAAAGAAAAAAAGAAAGCAATCATTTTGGGCATTTAATAATATATTTTTTCTGGAGTATAATCCAATTACAGAGAAGTTCAGATACACTAGTGCTTTGTTCATGTATATATCCTGTCTTATAGAAAATTCCAGGTAAGGAGTGTGATTTCTATTTAATGTTACTTCTTTTGATACAGACTCAAAAAGAACCTCTCAAGTAACAGAGTTTTGTGATACCATTTGTACGATATGCTGCACCATTACTTAGATTTGGAATTTCTTATAAACAGTTTTATGTGGATTTTTTTAATGTCTTTATTCTTAACTATATATGTATAACAGAAAACAATAGATGTAATAGAACTATGCTTATTGTTTTTCTTTTATTCATAGATAGATATAGAGATAAAGATAGAGACAGAAATAATACTTATTTACTACATATTTTGTTTGTATGTGACTTAAGCCAGTAATAAATTTTATTTTATTTAATTGAATTCTCAGATATATTAGCTATTTCTTATTTCAATTTTAAGGCAACCAAATACCATAGCATCTTTTCTAAAAAAAAAAAATGGTGAAAAAAAGCAAAATATAAAAGTAAAAAAGCACAACTGAAAACCCAAAGAACAAAACAAAAAAGCAATTAAAGTTAAAAATGATGAAGTATTTTTAAACAAATTATTATAGTTTCAAAGTTCCTGATAATGGTCTTAAGTCTCCCCACTTTGCTATTAGTCTCTTACAATAAATATTTTTTCAGCTCTTTTCTTAAACAGTAGTCCAAATTATGCTTAAATTACATTTATTTTAAGTTAGGTGCAAAAACTTGAGAGGTTGTATTGCATATTGTTTTAACTCCCCATTAATTATCTCAAAGTGAAATATTCTGCACTCCATATTTTCTGGAAAAGATGCTTATCGAATACACTTTATCTTTCAATTTTACCCATAAGCAATTTTGCAGAGGAGAGCTAGCTTGCTTTTTTTTCCTTAAATAAAAAAGAGGGAGGGAGGGAGGGAGGGAGGGAGGAAGGAAGGAAGGAAGGAAGGAAGGAAGGAATTTTTATATGCATGTTCCTAATAAGCTGGTAGATGATGGACAACGTGTGTAGCCCAGAGTTGATTATCTTGATGTTCTCTGAGCAGCAAAATTTTCATTACCAAACTGGGCATCATCATCAGTTCTTTGACACCAGCGTAAAGTTCCCACCCATAAAAACCATCCCCTCCTCCCTGTTGCCACTACAGCAGCTACTGCCAGTCTGTGGAGCCAGAAAGATTGGGTTTCCTTGTCTTATATATATTGGGCTATTTTGGAAAATCATAAACAACCCAGAAGAAGGAATGAAAAAATCAGTTTTGAAAACTGCATGGACAAATATTTGTAATCAGTATATACTGACTCAAGTACTAGAAAGACATTCTAAAATCTCAATAAAAGATCAGTTAATGACAAAGCTCCTATAATTTTAGAAAATAAGTGATTAAATGAATAATTCATTCAGAGAATCAAACACTACTAACATACAATACATTAAAAATTTATATTGCTGATACTGCAGTCCAATACTAGTGACTTTAAAACAATTTAAACCGTGTTTCAAAAAAGCTTTCTTTCTTTCTTTTAAAAGCCAGGGGCAAAAAGGTATTGCAGTCATTATATAAAAAAAAAGCAGAAAAGACACACATTTAATAACCAATTACTGTGAAAATAACCAGTTACAGAGTTGCTAACTGAAAGCAACTATAGATGAGGAAAATAATTGAATTCAATATGTTCCTACATTGTTCTTTTCCATTAAATCTATAATGTTTAAGTACTGCTAATTTTCAAATATTATGCAAAAGATTATTAGGCTGTCTAGTTAAGCTTTAGAGAAAAACACATCACTCCTTTCCAAATTTAATTCTAATCCAAACTACTGAATGGATAATTGTATGATCTGATTGTTTCCAGTATTCTAGAGCAAAAGTAACATTACAATCATAGCAGAAATTTTGCTCAGACCCTAGTATTGTTCACTTGCCCTTTTTAATACTAATGATATGGTGGTATTTCAATTCCTTCTTTCTTTCAAATAGAAAGAGAAGTTCAGTGGTAATAAATTTATATGAGATGAATGCACATCAGCTGAGGTATTAGCATTTTTTTGTTCTCTTGAGGAGGGTCATGTGCTGATTGATTCCTGAGGCCCAGTCTGGCTTTGTTATTGGGGATGAGTTTGAGCCTGTTAATCCTGATGAGGTAGACAGGTTCCAGTTGGTGTTGTAGAATGCAGAAACTGGTGGATTCCATGGCCCCTGCTTTGGGGCTTTCCTCAAGGCTCAACAATCTGACTACTCCTGTTTAATTATGAAACTGCTGACTGAAGTCATTCAATGGTATGGATAATACCCAGCTTTAAATCTCCCTTTCCCCCAGCATGAAAAGTGATGGCTGGGAAGACATATTTCTGAGTGCAAATGGGATTCTGAATGGGGAAGAATAGGTTTCAGCTCAATCCTAGCAAGACTAAGTAGCTCTTGTAGGGTCTCCTAGATCTAGTGATCTTCCATTTTTGGTTCTGGGTTGAACCATGGTTCTGAGCCATGGTGGTGCAGTGGTTAAAATGCAGTACTGCAGGCTACTTCTGCTGTCTGCCGGCTTCCTGCAGTTCAGCAGTTCAATTTTTACTAACTCAAGGTTGACTCAGCTTTCCAACCTTCTGAGGTTGGTAAAATGGGGACCCAGATTGTTGGGGGCAATATGATGACTCTGTAATCCCTTAGAGAGGGTTGTAAAGAACTGTGAAGCGGTATATAAGTCTAAGTGCTATTGCTATTATACATCTCAAACAAAAACAATGTACAATCTGAAATTGCTGACTGTTATATACCGGTAGTCAATGCTCTAGGTCAGTGGTTCTCAACCTTTTTAATACCACGACCCCCAACCGGTCGTAAGTCGAGGACTACTCAACCGGTCGTAAGTCGAGGACTACTCAACTGGTGCAGCACCGTTTGCAGAATGGACTTTTGGCGGGCTCAGCAGGGCAGAGACAGCCTGGACAATTCCTATTGGCTTTTGAAAGCCAATAGAATTAGACTCTATTCAAGAGAGTCTATTCTATTGGCTTTCAAAAGCCAATAGAATAAAAGGGAGTAGCACAGCTAAGGAAAAGAAGAAAAAAAATGGTGGACTGCGTTGTTTGGTGACCCCCGTGAAATGGTCGTTTGATCCCAAATGGAGTCCCGACCCACAGGTTGAGAACCACTGCTCTAGGTTCTAGTTACTAATATACCCAGATAAAGAATTGGTCAGATGAAATATATTGAAGTTCAACTTGCAATGTAAAGAATGTTTGGATCATTCTGTTACTCTGTAGACTAATAGGTGGTTCAGTCATACCTGGAGTAATTCCACTTCCTTTTTCTTCCTTTAGCAAATTAATTCATATCTTATTAGTAAAAACATACTATATCCATACCTAGGTAATGGAAATATAGATGCAGTTAAGCCAAAACAAGCCTAATTTTTCAACATTAATTAATACTTTCTCATTATAAATCATGTCAAAATTATTACTATCAACAGAGAGGGAAAAATAAAAATAAAGGAGTAATAAATAATAAAATGCATACTGTGAAAGAAATGTTCTTACCTTTGTTATTGTATACATCTAGATAGTTTGGTGCTGAAAAAATTGTAATTAGTGATGGGAAGCCTGTTGTCTGGCTTTTCCTATACATACGATACCTACAACAAATTGCATAAAACACTTCAATAGCAACGTTAACTACTTATTTATTAATGTTATTGAGGCTGTAATGATGGATGCCTGTTTCATGGATTTTGGTTAAATGTGTTTCATATCTCATGTGCATACTTCATATGCTGTTTGGATAGAAATCAATAAATATCACCATTTATAATTTCAATAAATCTGGGAAGGTCATATAGTAACGGGTCAAATAGAGATACATACATATGGATAGAAAATTACATTGGTCATTGGTTTCTTCTGTTGTGCATTTTTTCCATAGTAACGGCATTTTAATAAAATTTGAAAACACGATGGAGAACACATGACTAAAGCTTCTTTCCCCTCTAACATTGGTATGATTTTACCTTGGCTATTAAAAAATAAATAGTAATCTAGTCAAACTAAATGCTAAATTATTTATTTAGTTTGGCTCTCAAAACTAAAGCCAGACCAAAGCCAAAGCCAATGAAAGCCAATTAAACTTTATAGATAAAACTGTTTACTGATTTAAAAAACCCTCTATCCAAAAACCAAATAAAAGCAAGCAAATTATCTGTAGTACAGAAGAATGAAGGCATGATTAGATACTGTTTACCTCGCTACATATACCTGGGCACCATAAACTACTTTCAGGTCCCTTTCTCAAATTTTGTAAAATAATTCGTGTTACTGCGGGAGATGAGTGGAGAGTTAACAGTTTTCTCCTTGTTCCATACTAAAATAATAATGTAGTCAGAACTTATGGAGGTTGCTTTTCAGGGGACAGGGACACCCAATGGTTGCATTCAGTCTTAAAGTCTTAGACTGGATACCTCTGCTTTTAATAGGAAGAAGGAAGGCACCCTTCAAAATTGTTCACCCCTCCAAATAAAAAAGAACAATGGGTTGGATTCAAAGATCATCTAAACAGAGAAAGGTATACACAACGATCTTTCCATTCCTTCCTTTTTTTCTGAAGCACCAAGTTTCTTTGGCTGCAGGAGAAAACTCCTGGATAGAGTAGATGTGATACAGGCCCCTACTGTAAGAGGGAAGAATGCCAGAAATTAAGTGGAAGACTCTTGGCAAGCAATTAGGTTTAGGCAAAGGCAGTCCTACAGCTTTTTAAGATGGATTATGAAAATTAATTTTAGATTCTCTCCCTTCTCTGAGTGTAAGGGAAATATGTAATGTTAAAAGTGAGTTACAGTATTTCATAGGCTATGTATCTCACTATAATTAGATTCATGCCTATAGTCAATCTCTACTGTTAGATACACTTATTAATATCAACAGAAATATTAGTTCACATTGTTGATATCCAGAATTTGTTTTATATTTGAGCTGACATTTTAAAAAAGAAAACAAGTCTGTTTACAATTATATGTTTGTGAGAGAGTGTTTCTGTATGGTATATATCTATGTGTTTGTATATAGACACACATGTATACATATTTAAAAGACTGGGACATGTATACATATCTAAAAGAGTAGGACTGGAGGCAAGTACTGGAGATCAGGCAGAGTTATGGAAAACAAGGTCTCAGCATAATTCAAAATGAACTTCTTCCAATTTTGTTCACAGCAACAACCCAGTGAGGTGGGATGGGCTGTGAGAGAGTGACTAGATCAGTCATTATCTGGCTTTCATGCCTAAGGCAGAACTCAGAACTCAGTTTCCTAGTGTTACTATGCATGCCTATAAATGTTCTTATGTACAGTACTTGCAACAATTGTTAGGATGCAAGTAGGCAAGGACAGATGAATCTCATAATGTAGGGGTTCCCAACCGGGGGTGTGAGATGATATTCCAGGGACTGAGAAAACTTGGGTTTTCAAAATTATAGTGTATATGGATAATTCATTGCTGTTATCTCGAACTTTTGTAAGGGGTGTGAGAATATATCAGAAGTGCTCTAGGGGTGCGGGTATAGAAAAAGTTGGGAACTGCTGTCATAATGCCACAGCAAGTGTGATCATTTTGATATATTCTTTTGTTTGTTTGCTGGATGTGGCTTCTGGATGATGCATCTGGCCACAGGCTGGCAATTTGACACTCCTGCCCTAAGTCTTCCTTGTACTCATGGATTTCTGGACAAGACAAATGTATAGTCTCACCCATATTATCCTATAAAGTAGGTGTCTGCAATCAGGCACAATACTTTCTGCAACATCTTTAAATGGCATTATCCACTGACCTCCATTTTTTTTAAGAAAACAAAAAATGGTAGACTCCCATATTTTGCAAGCATCTTGTATTATCACAAAAAAACTTGAAGACTTTTAGCCTTTCTAACATCTTCTGAGTAGATTTCTTTTAGTTTTCATGGTATCAGATCAATCATATGTTGTCAGAGAGGTTGCTGATCTGTGTTATAAAACTAGTATTTCATTTTTACTGAATTCAGACTATTCTCAATAGTATTCTCTTTAAAAAAGCTTTATTTTGCTGTTCATAGGTGCACCACTTTTATTCCTCTCCAAAATAAAGCAATGATCCAACATGTATTGTCACAGCAGTTACGGGTATGCTCTTTTTACATATGATATTGCAGTTTTTCAGCTTGCAAATCAGAGAACCTTTCTATAGAAAAAAATGTATGCTAACAGTCCCAAGAATCTTCCAACAAAAGTAGCAAATAAAAGCATAATAAATAAGTACGTAGTCCAATCTTAGGTTCATCTCAAACTGCTATTTTAAACTAATATAAATCTTTCCTGCATGAAGTTCTCCGTTTCTGAAGTCAGTGAGGGACCTCTTGTAAGGTTTTCCAAAAAGGGGGTGTTCCCTTCCTCAATTATTGAAACAAGCATGTTTCCCAGAAGCTAAGATAGGGCCGTCTTGAATATTGCTCCTTGTTATCTGCCTGTGTACATACAAACTTGCAGAAGACTGGAGAAAGCCTTTGAAACAGCTGCACTAAGTCTTCCAGAGGACATGCCTACTTTGATGCTTTGGAAACACAAGCACTTCATTCAGGCAAATATACTTTGTGAAGCACTTTTTTATAAAGCTGCACTCATGCAGTTATTTCATCTTTGTCAGTAGTATTTTGAGAGACTGGGGTAAAGCTGGGAGTTGAGTCAACTGAATATTTATGTCATAGAAAGAAATTAAGTCCAGCTGTTGAGAGAGAAGGGAAAATACTTGAAAGAGCCTCTGACATAAACACATTATAACTCACACTGGGTAAGTCCTATTACAGTTTTCAAGATTCTGTATATATTCTAAATTGGCATTAAGCTACCTTACTGAAATCTGTATCATTCTTGCTTTCTTGGTTTTGCCAGCTATGTGGGAGTTGACAGGTAGGTACAATAGGAAAACAGAATACCCATTTTCTCTGTGTCTATACTAAATTAATAGAGCTATGTAGCTCAAAAGATCCATCTGGCATTTTATTTTCTCAAACTCATTTATTTTGAAAGGTGTTTTAAATAAACACATAGTCTTGGCAGTTTAGGCCATCTTGGAGGAAAAGCTGGGATAGACATTCATTAAATTAAGTCACATGCTGTAAGTTTTTAGTTCATCAAAGGAAAAGAAAGGGTTAATATGAAAGGTCTTATGCAACTGATGTATGGCTCTACTTTTTCTAAATCACTGAAATTTATATTTTTATATCTGATTTTCTGAAAAAAAATCCTCTCTCTCTGTAATTTAGCTATTCGTTTGTCAAAGTGTACTTCATTTCAGAGATTGAAAAATATATTTTTCTTTCAAACTTTATCTGTAGGTCTAGAAAATTAACAGGCTGAAAAAAGCTATTATATTTTCTGCTGCTGCTTACCTACTGAACAAGGGAAAACCTCTGACATTACATCATTACTGATTGTTATGAGAATTTGAGTATAAGGCTACTGAAAACAGTTTGAACATCAGGATTTCATTTTGGAATACTTGAAGATAAGGAAGGGCATCAGACCCCCATTTACAGTACATTTTGCTCAAAAGGAAATATCCGTACTGAGAATGCAATTTCAAGACTGATGGAAATTACAGAACTTTGAAAAAGGCTAGATGGTGCTTTTCTTCCCTGATCATTAAAAATACAAAACAACAGCAATGTTGGCATGTTGTTTAGATCTCAAAGAAACATCTCCAAAGGCAGCAGCCCACTCTGACATATCTATCTTTATCCACCTGCTTGGAAGACAAAATCAAGCCCTCTGGTATTGAGAAAAAAATATATATAAAGCACATAATTAAAAAAAAAAGAGAGACAGAGAGATACTACTCACCCAGCATCTTGGGCTTCATGAGCTCGGAGTATAGATAATAAGTTATTGTGCTGTAGGAAGTCACATACAGCAGGGTAACTGAGATTTAAAAAAATATATAAAGATATTGGTTTATACCCTTGAAATTTAAATGTTAGATTAAAATACATGAAAAAAATACATCGGTCACTTTCTTCAAGAATATATAGATGCATTCAAAAGTATTTGTGCCCCTCCTCTTTTTTTTTCCAAAGAATCCCAGTTTGCCATGAAAAACTGAAAGTAACACAAATAAATGCCGCCACCACTCTTTATTCCATACTCCATAAAGCAGACACTTTGCTTTTGAAGTTTTACTCTTGTAAAATTCTATAATACAACTTTTTAATTTACCATTTATGTATAACTTTCTTTCATTCATTCATTCAATTTTTCCTACCAAACGCAACTACTTTAATTTTTAAATCCACATTTGTCGTCAGATCGTGGCATCTATCTAACATTCACTACAAATTATTTGGGCTCTCCGCCAAGAGTGCAGTGTCAAAATGCTTGCACATTCATGTTTCCAGCCAACAAAGTTCTAACATTGCAACAAATATTCTTTAAATATTTATGCACAGATACATTATACATTATTCTACAAAGATACATTATACATTATTCTACATATATTATTCTACAAAGATACATTATACATTATTCTACATATATTATCTTACTTCCTTTTCACTGTTATTTCATAAAGTAATCAATTTATTCTCACAAATGTTTTACCTCAATTATATGCCTCTTCTAACAGCTAACGTCAACTCCACATTCAGATAAAACATTCCATAATCAAGGTTATTTGTTTTATAATATGCTTACTCTAAATTAAACAATATAAATACACTTTCTTTCTCATGTTCCTAATTTTCTTTGTGACCTGCCAAAGATAAAAATCTTGTCCGCACAGCCCTTCTTTTACATGTCACCTTGCAATTTCAAGTTTTTGTTCATTGTTACCCTTTTTCTTTGCTCTTCAACCCTAATTCTGCTAAACAACTAACCAGACATGATTAATAAGTTTATCTCCCTGGGATAATTACGGTACTCATTTTTGTTAACTTACCCTTTATACAGAGGATCAATAATATCATTTTTTCCAATCACCAGACACAACGGAAGTCTTCACACATGTTTAAACAAATTACATAACCACTCCGTAAGCAAACCACATTTATATTTAACACTGTTCTTATTACACTGTAAACACCTTATACCTTTGCAACATTTTCATAGCATTCATGATTTGCTTTTCATGGGGGAGGGAGGGAGAAGACACATTTACTTATTTATTGAATTTATGGGCTACACAATCTGTCATGACAAGGGATTACAGTACACTACCAAACTGAAAAGTCTGGGAGAAACTATTCAGAAAATCAAAACATCATCCAATTTAGCTCAGAGCCTTAAGATTTCATTTAAATGGCAACAGGGTAGGGATAACATGAATCTGAGAATGATATTCCAGTAAAATGTACCTTCCAGTATCCTCTCACTTCATTCTAAACAATTTAAGCACTTTTTAATTCCATTCATTTTGCTCCCTCTTCACCTACTTCCAAAAACCTTTTTATTCCCATCAAAATTGCTTTCTCTGCTTCTTCTTAATGCTAACAAACTTAGTACTTTATTATTTTTTTGCAACTATCCATTTCTCTTGAAATCCATTAGACATTATCTTTTTATTATTCTGATTTTTTTGGCAGCAAATATTCTCTCATAACCATTTTTCTGCATTCATTGCCACTTTAATTTCATCAATCCAACAAGCATCCTTTTATATAGTTCCAATTACTATTATTCCTCATTGTATACTGTTGGTACTATAGAAAATTAATATTTTTTCTTATTCATCTTGTTTCTTTGATTTATTCATATCACTCTGAAAAATAATCTGCCACCCAACCGCCACCCCCCCACTAATATACATTTTGCATTAATTCAGAATGTTGCACAAATTCTTCCCAAACTCATTCCTGGTTCTTCCAATATCTCCAGTCCCTGGAATATAATATGCGATTGTCACTAACCTATAGAATTTTAATTTTATTTAATTTTCAGCCTAGATGACGCTATATAATGGTTCTTTCATTCAGAATTAAACCTATACCTTACTTCCCTGCATATGGCCATCGATTCTACTCCATTAAGATCAGGCTACTTTGATTCATCTCTGTTACTTTTTCTTTTTTACATTTACATAGCAATCTTTGTTTCTTCATTTTGTTTGTTAATTCATGTTCTTTATCATTCATTGGAATTATGTTCCAATTGTAATCTTTCACATGCCATGATAATCACTAGATGGATCCATTGATAGAGCCTCTGCCGATCATTATAGCTTTAGTTAGTCAAGGTTTTAACATAAAAGTTTTAGTAAGCTAGACAAGGTATAGGCCAGGGGTAGGCAACCCAAAACACTCAAAGAGCCATTTGGACACGTTTCCCACCGAAAACAAAACACTGGGAGCTGCAAAACCCTTTTGATATCTAAAATGAAGATAACACTGCATATATCCTTTTTTACCTTTAATATATATACGTGTGTGTGTGTGTGTGTGTGTGTGTGTGTGTGTGTGTGTATAAAATAAAGATAAAAAAGGATATATGCAGTGTTATCTTCATTTTAGATGTCAAAAGGGTCTCTCTCCCTGTCTCTCTCTTTCCTCTTTCCTTTCTCTTTCCTCTCCCTTCCTCCCTCTTTCCTCTCTTTTTTCTCTCTCTCTTTCCTCTTTCTTTCTCTTTCTTCTTTCTCTTTCTCTTTCCTCTCTCTCTTTCCTTTCTCTTTTCTCTCTTTCTCTCTTTCCTCTTTTTCTCTTTCTTTTTCTCTTTCTCTCCTCCCTTTCTCTCTATCTCTTTCCTCTTTCTCTCTTTCTTTTTCTCTCTTTCTCTCCTCTCTTTCTCTTCTCTGTTTCCTCTTTCTTTCTCTTTCCTCTTTCTCTCTTTCCTCTCTCTCTCTTTCTCTCTCTCTTCAGGTGAGGAGAGAGAGAGAACGAAAGGCAGACGACACCGAACAGGCGGAGAGGGGAAGCAGGACTGGAGGCAGCGGCTCCGATGGCGGTGACGCGGTCGGCGCCCCCCCCACCACGTCCTCATCCAAACTGGCAGAGAGGGAAAGCAGGACAAGAGGCAGTGGCTCCAGTGGTGGTGGCACGGCCCATCAGCCGAACGGGCGGAGAGGGGAAGCAGAATGGGAGGCAGCGGTTCCGGCAGCGGCGTGGCCTCTTAGCTGAACAGGCGGGGAGGGGAAGCAGGATGGGAGGCAGTGGCTCCGGTGGCGGCGGCGGCACAGTGGCGGCCAATGCAGTATTGTTGGGGGTCCCTGCCCCCGCCCCCGCCATGTCCTTAGCCACTTCGCCGTTGCAAGAGGAGGGCGCCAAGGCTGGGTGCACCATGGGCGGCCACGCCGGCAGAGGGGAATGCCACTGCGGGGACGAGGGGGTCTCAACCTGCCGCCGGCCCCGCTGCCCTCGCAGCCCAAGGTCTCCTCCTGCAGCACTGAGGGGGGCGGCAGCGGGAGGACGGAAAGGGCTATGGCTGCCCGCTTGCTGGTGCCTCTTCAGCCTTGCTCAGCGTGACCGGCAGCAGCGGGAAGACAGTCAAGAGGACAGCGCAGCAGTTGGGGAAAAGACCGGGCAGGCGCCGTGGGGGAATCTGCTGCCTGTGAGACGGCCAAAAGGCGCAGGCAGAGAGGGGAAGCTACAGAGACCCCCGGCGACCCCCCACTAACAGAGGCAATGGCGGAGCAGGGTGAGGGGAGACCCGCCGGGCAAGGAAGAGGCACCCCAAGACCGGCCACCTGTGGCTCCTTACCAGGGACACGTTTCCAGCAATCCTCCTGGTCACCACGTGCAGTCTGAAGAAGGAAAGAGGTTTGTGGGCAGTCCCACAAACCAAAGAAGTTCAACCTATAAATTCAAACTTCATGAGAAGTTTGAATTGATTGGTTGAACTTTTTTAGTCCACTTTTTTTTTTCAGACTGCACATGGTGGCTGAGGACAGGGAGCCGCAGGAGACGGCTGAAAGAGCTGCATGCAGCTCCGGAGCCGTGGGTTGCCAACCCATGGTATAGACTATCAACCTTAGTGACAATTGTGCCATATGCAGCATCATTGTTAAAATAAGGACAGTTATGGTTAGTTTAACTATATTTTGGCCAGTGTGCCAAACTGAATGAAAGCTAATTTTATCTCAACAATGTTCTAGATAAGAACTCTTATTTAGAATGATTTTATGAGAAAACATCACTGCCAGCATGTAGGTGACAGATAAATTATACACACACACACACACACACACACACACACACACACACACACACACACTTCACCAACAAGTGCAGATATAAACATGTAATTACATGTAAGGCTGAAAGGTCAAATAACAGAAATAAAAAAGTTTCATTGTCTGCCCTGAGTCCTGATTACATCATGCTTACCACAGGAAAGTTACATTCCTATGATGAGACCCAGTTCAAATCCCGTGTACAATTGTGAAGTAGTTTAGATTGAAATTGTCTTCCTGTTATGACATTAGTTATATTAATTAGGAGGGAGGGCTTATTGGGAACATTCACATACTGTTAACTTCCAGTTTTTGGTAGAATTTTAATAGGGCTTTCATGAGGTTAATTTAATAACTTCAATTCTTTTTTTTTTACCATCCCATTTCAAAAAATGAATGAAAGAAAGAAAGAAAGAAAGAAAGAAAGAAAGAAAGAAAGGAAGGAAGGAAGGAAATCTCAACATGATCACTTTTTACTTTCCCCTAAATGTACAAAAAGATGGCTAAGAATGGAAAGATAAGGATTTAAGGATAAGAATGTTACCAATGAAGGATCTGCAATCTATCCACAGCATGCAATACTCTCTTACTCTATTTCACTACAGTGGTATAAATGCTTTTCATGAATCTACCCTTAACACAAGCATTATGCTGAAGTAACTATGGTAACTGTCTCCAGTTATATAACCAAGAAAGCTACAGGTAACATGAAACAGAGAGGAAGAATTTCTTTCTTTTTACTGAAAATGCTTGATATTCACTT